GCAAAAGATAGATGACGAATAGGTCGTACGGCACAGTCGCGAAAGGCGACGCGATTGGTCGTACAGTGGTGTATAACCAGGAAAATGCGACGAGGAGAGATTGGATGAGACGCCACGCGTCAACTTGATCGGCAGCGAAGTAAAAGAGGCCGCTCGTGATCCAGGCAAGGCTCTGAAGAAGCCCTGCAAATGTGAAGACGAGTGACCGCCCAAATGGAATGGCCTGCGGAACAACGATCTCCTGGTCGTCGACCCCAGTCGCTCCCGCCGACTGAAGATCCACAGCCTCTGCTTCATGCAGCGTGATAAACGGTGTGAAAGACGCTTTGAGAGCAGTGAAGAGTCTCCGGAGTGGCGAAGGCCATGGGGTCCCAAGTGAAGGAACACAGAAGGTAAAGAGGACCAGAAAGGGTAGTACGGCACTCCACGAGCTTCGCACACACCCGTCCCAAAAGTCGAACGCGCTGGAGTTGCTGCATACTTGCATCGTGGTTGAAGTCAACCCCGGTTCGCAGTCCACGACGGCCATCAGCGACCGCAAGTCTTATTTATTGGGGGACACCGCGCCAGAGAACCTGGGAAACTGCGGGAAGCTTTAAGCCTCTACGTGTATTGTCTGAATAACCCCGTCGAGATCGGAGCAGAGGCAGCCCTGCAATGCGGCGAAGGGTTCCCGCCAACGAGAACTTCTTCGGGTTCGACCGCACTCAAAAGGTCGGGGACATCTTCAAGAACGTGGACGCCTGCAGTTTGAGCACCAAACAGCCATAGTTTCAGCGCCAAGTGCCGCCGGGCGGACACTCTCAAAGGTCAAAGGTGGCAGGAAGAACGAGGCGGAATATTCGAATCCGATCAATGTCAAGCAAAATTGGGACGGGGTCAAAAAACCGCATTTTCATGATTCCATTGAGATTACCTTCAAAGGCAATAACGAGATTGCCATTCCACTGCCCCGAGCTTGCTTTGACGCGTCAAACCACTCACAAGGACGTCGAAAATTATGCAGAACTCGTGTGCAAGCTTATGATGGAATGGCTACAAGAGGAATCGACTCTTCAGACTACAGTAGCGGACAATCAAAGTCCGCCTATTTTGGAAGCGTGGGAAATTTGTATACGACGACAACGGCGACCATTCCGAACGTCCGAAAACACTGAAAGCAGTTATATTAGATGCTATTAAAGAGATCTGCACGAGCAGAATTTCGATATCTTTGATTTTAAGGTGATGGGACCCCAAAATATTGAGAAAAGTCAAAAGAAATCGGAAAAATACTGGGAAAAGTGCCAATCGACACCTTTTGATTAGCTGAGTATGATTCCGGAAAGATCTACACAATTCATCGAGCCGTTCCATCCATAAAAAATGATTTCTCTTTGACCTTCACCACCCACCATGCCCCCTAGAAAAAAGCAGAAATGGAATATCACTGGTCTGCGGAACTAGCAGCAGACATCCTCAGCACCTTCTGTTGGGTCCACCACATATGTATATATTTTTCCCTCTCGGAGGCCTCAAAGAGGTACACAGAATTTTGTTCAACCGGCCGAAAATATTGAGAAAAATAACCGCTCGTGGGAAAAACTTCGGAGATATGTTTTTGAGCTCCTTTCGACGAGCTGGATCTGAATCTGGCCTCAGATTTGGGAAAAAATGGGTGGTTCACACGCTATGTGATAGGCGGACTTTGATTGTCCGCTACTGTAGATAAGTTCCAGTTGATGTGCTAAAAAAAAAATCTGCTTCCTCAGATCTGGCTAGTTCTACCGCGGCGAGTTGGTTCACCCGACAATCCACTGCGACCGTGAGCTCGGCTATGTAGAGGGATTTGAGGAGGCCCATGTAGTTAGCGTGTACACATCGGGATACCCTCTGGAAACCGGTGTTCCTGAGCGGGACCGTGCCGTGTAATACTACCTACCTACCTACCTACGTGGACGACGAGAATTCTTATTGGTATTACGCGACGTTGTATACGGGTTTGCTTCATCGCTGCATTACCTCGTTCACGGACTCGCGCGCTCCGGCCTCCCAGTCATCCCAACACAGGCTCAGGAAAACAGTGTCGCGGCCAAGAGAGCGAGACTTAGGGTCACCCCCACGGATGCCTCCCCCATTCCCGCCCTCGATCTTCTCTGCGGGCAACACCGTATCCCATCTCAACACTCCCTCCCGGCGGAACCCCAGCCGTTCCGCGGCGCGCACACTCCGGGTGTTGTGCACATTCGCCCTCCACGCGACGCGCCGCAAGCCCAGCCCACCTTCCGCCGGGGCTTCAAGCGTCCAGCGCAGGAGCAGCCCCACAGCGTTGGACGTGACGTGTGTACACTGGAAGCGCGGCAGCGTGATCACGAAGCCGATCTCGGTGCTAAGATTCGTCGGGGACGTGGCCAGAAGCCCGATCGTCCCCGCGAGCTGGGGCACTGCCCCGGGCGACGACGTGTCGAGCACCGCGAAGAGGACTATGCTGCGATCAGGCTGGATCTCCATGACCGTCGAGACAAAGTCCTGTGCGGTGGCGAATGGGGCCACGGGCAGGTAGGCAAAGAGTTCGGGGTGGGAGGTTGCAACGGCGAAGAATGCGTCCCCGTGCTCGGAGGGCTGTGAGGTGTCACTTCAGCCGATGGACGCGTACAAAGTACATGGCGTACGATGAATGGGACTAGTTTCACGCGGTCGTTCTCCAGTTTAGGTATGGGGAAGTAAAAGTCTACATCGTACGGGGTCATCGTGGATGTGGCAGATAGTGGTGGGAGTAGAGAAGACTCGCCGGTAAGTATCAGGCATGTGCTGCGCCACAGCCCTGACAACGAAGCCAGAATCATTTCGTGAGAGCAAAAGTTGAGAAAAGGCTTGAGGTGTGCACTCGGATGCGCGCGCAGGGTCATCGATGGAGGCAGGATTCGTTTGGCGGAGGATATGTCGTCCGTAGCTTGACCTGCAGTTTCTTGCAGATAACGTCTCGTGTTTCGAGTTCATATGAAGAAGGATGTAATAGGCTGCCAGTGTGTTTGGTTGGATTCAGAAAACGTTCCCAAGCGCCCGCCAGAGTCCATTGGCTGCCATCGGTGACCGCAAGTCTTGCAGACAGAAGACCTGCGACAGTGCTAGAAGATCTTCAAGACGCGCATTCTGGCTCAAGGGATAGATTCCGAAGCGCGAAATGGGACGCGCACTTGAAGGTCACCCAGAAGATCGGGGGTGGTAAGAAAGAAAGAGGCGTATGTTTGTGATCGAGGTCACCCAAACTGGGTAACGTACATATTGCAGTTCCTCGATAAATGTTCTATGCGGCACGATATCGAAAATCTAGGGCTAAACTTCCGGAAATTCTACTTGGACGACGTCTAAAAACACTGCACGAACGCGAAAGCGAAGTTGTCTCCGAATCCTGAATGGAATCATTTCATCTTCGCTGCATGATCTTGTTCACAGATTCGCGTGCACCGCTCTCCCAATCGTCCCAGCACAGGCCCAGCAGCAGGGTGTCACGGCTAAGATAGTCCGGCCTAGGATCCCCTCCCCGGACGCCCCCGCCATTTCCACCCTTAGTCCTCCCTGCGGGTATAACTCGATCCCACCGCAACACCCCCTCCCGGCGGAACCCCAGCCGTTCCGCAACGCGCACGCTCCCAGCATTGTGCACGTTCGCCTTCCACGCGACGCGCCGCAACCCCAGCCCCCCCGCCTCTGGGGTTTCGAGCGCCCACTGCAGAAGCAGCCCCGCAGCGTTCGACGTGACGTGTGTGCGCTGGAAGCGCGGCAGCGTGATGACGAAACCGACCTCGGTGCTGAGATTCGCTGCAGACGTGTCCAAAAGCCCGATCGTCCCCGCGAGCTGCGGCGCTGCCCCAGCCACCGACGTGTCAAACACCGCGAAGAGGACGGTGCCGCGATCGGGCTGGATGCGCTGCTCGATGACGGTCGTGACGAAGTCCTGTGCGCCGAAGGTCAGGTATGTGAAGAGCTCAGGGTGTGCGCCTGCAGCAGCGAAGAACGCGTCAGCGTGCTCGGACGGCTGTGGGGTTTCGCGTCACTCCGGTGGACACACAAAGAACAGATGGCGTACGAAGAATGGGACGAGTTTCACGCGGTCATTCTGCAGGTTTGGAGGTACTGGAAAGCAGAAGTTCACATCGTGCGGCGGGGCCATGGTCAGTGGTGGTGCGAGTCAAGAATGAGTCATCGGCAAGCGTCGGGCATGTGATACAGAGCGCCTTTGCATCGTCTTGCTTGGTCAAAAATTGCGACTTGATCGGGCGGGCAATCAATTGCAATGCCAGGGTTATTTTGAGGAGAGTAGTTTGAGCGCGACGCGCCGCTTGCGAGGGTTTCATGGAGGCCCGAAGCGCCTCGCAAGTATAGATGCAGGCAGCGCCAATACTTGACGTCGGGATATATCCTTGCCAGCGTGGCGCCGTCGCTCGGTTTAGGTCACGCAGAACTTTTGCAAGGCCCCAGAGATTCTCCTGAAAAACCGACATCGATGTGGGTACAAGAGAGTGTGGAATCGGTGATCGGATTGAAAGTGTTTCACTCATGTGTATTCCATTCTTGAAGGACCTCGGGGAAAGCTTCATGAACGAGCTCGAGTCTTGCCACCCAAGATTGTCGCGAGCAATTGGCTAGGGATGCGATTTAAATCCGATTCGAGCTGAAGCTTGAAGAGTGGGTGGACACGTTTCACGTGCGTTGCAAGACGGAACCATCGCCCCGTAAGAAGGATGGAGGAGAATGTACGCAGCGAAGATGAAGGCAGCAGGAGAGATAGGATCGGCAATAACCGGCTTTGTGATCGCTACATATCACTCTTGAGGTGAAAGTGAAGGAACTGAGAGGAAGTGTGCAACTGACCTCAAGGATACTAGCTGGCAAACCCTTTGACCGACATTTGCGTCAGCTCGTTTCAAACCATTTGAATGCCAGACGGGCGATTTAGAGAAAGGGATAGCGGGTGCCTATGATAAGTACCGCAGGAATTTTTTTTTATCAGCGTCCAATTCCCGCTAGCCGACCAGAACGACTGACCCCCGTCGTGAGTGTGGCTCCTCGCGGGGCTCGTCGTACACTGTGTTTTGTCTCTAAATGCGGGCAGCGACGCGCTCTACCGATTGAGCTAAGAGGGAGATGCATGTTGAATCGAAACGCGGTGCGGGTTCCCGACAATCGCACTCTCGCGTCCACAAGAGCATGCATATTTCAAATTTTCTGGGCTTCGATTCTACATTGCTCGGGGAACATCTGATACCTCCCGTCCGCCCCCGGCCCAATCATCAATCCCCGCAACCTCTCTACAAGCTCGGGGTCTTCTCCGGCTCCATAATACAACCAGAGTTCCAACCGGCGCAGATTTCTGAGCTTCAGCACACGGCGAGCCCAGGAGTACTCGATGCGCGGGTCGAGTTCTTCCATTTCGGGTTCCGCTTTGAGCTCGAACGCCACGCGCTCGAGGCCCATCCGGTGGAGTACGACGAACACATCCTTCCACCCCGAGGCCGAGGATGGCCTAAGCTCGTACACATAGACGCTGCGGATGTCCGGGAGGCAGTATTCTCCTAGCCCGTAGCGCACGAGCATCTCAAGATGTGAGGCACAGAAGGAGAAGGTATTGCGCTGGTGCAGAATCGGCAGGGCTTCGGCGTAGATCTGTCGGCAGGAGCGTAACAGCGCAGGGGAGAGTTGGTCGGCAGTGGCGGGGGGGATGTTCCTGGTGCGGGCGTGTGCGAGATTGTCGACAAGGACATAGCACCGAGACCAAACCATACGCCAGCCTTTGGACGCAGCATCGACGACGAGCAGGTCAATCAACCGTCCGCCGAGAACCTGCTCGAAGATGCACTGCCGTAGCTCCAAAGGAAGCTTGGAGAGCAAGTAACAGCTTTGGGGCTGTTCCTTCACCGGGAGATGCTGAATGTCGATACGAGGGGTAGGGAAAGGCAGTGGGTCGGGTAGAGTCGGCAACACGTGCTTTCCCCCGCACTTGCCACCTACTCCACCACAGACGAAAATGGCACACAAGCAGGGACAACAGAGAATGACGGAAAAATATTCAAAAAAGGTCCCAGCGGCCTTGGAGATGGCCTTGGAGGCCGCCAGAGGCATAATACTATGAAATATGTCTCTGAATTAGTTCACTGCACAGTAATAGCACTTACATGTTTCTTTCCCCCAGGCTCTACAATTCACAAGGGAGGCCGGGAGAAGATGGAGGTTGGGGTGAAGTCCCAGTACTTATGTGTTTTCCGGCGGTGGCAACAACACCGCTTGGAAGCTGTAGAATCTTGGAAGACACTTCCGAAGATACGGAGATGGTTGTGCGCCAAGAAAGCATTATGTGGCGGTGCAGCCCATTGGTTCAGATGATGGCTGAATGCTGGCGACATTGATTTCCCATCATGGTTCAGTGCAAGTTCAGTTCAACCGTCAACGTTCAACAGTTCTAGCTTCAGCGCTTCAGTTCCTACTTTCCTCCGGAGTTGGAGTGACAGAATCATAAATTAGAGTATATCTAACATCTGACTATCTTGTACCTTCACGACGAGGACCGTGTTGTATGGCAACGTAGAGTGAGCTGCTCGCTCATCCACTTGATTTCTGTTGATCCTTGGCCCGGCACAGTGATTTGGACCCCAGATACCTCTCTTCCTTCGCCTTTTCTTCCACGACGCCGAACCTCAGGCTCACATGCTCAAAGCGGATGGAAGAGTTTGTGTATTTTTTTCTGGTTTGACCATATTTTACCGGTGATTCTCGGTTCACCGATTGAGCAACCTTTGTGAAACACATTTTGCTCCTAACTCGGAGATGTTCCAACATGGTAAGGGAAAGTCCTTAAGGAGATATTAGGTGATTACCGAACCGGTTACTCATGAAACCGGCGCCGTCAAAAAGGTGTGCCACGCAAGGTACATCATTCTGGTGGTCAGTATCCGAGATTTCTACATTTCTTTGACCCCTTTGGGGTGTCATACGAAAAATTGGAACGATACAGAGAAGATTAGCATGGCCCCTGCACAAGGATGACACGCTTTTCCGGAGTGGTAGACCTACGGGTCTCAATATTTATGCATCATTTTGCAAAAATGGTTGACAGAGAAGGAGAAATGCTTAATAGAATCATTAAAAGGTTTTTCCTGTTCAGAGCAAGGCCAATTTGTTTTCTAGCCACCTGGGCACCCAAGAGGCTTGTTTTTATCTCCTCAGCTTGGATATTTATCAAATGGAAGCCTTAGACAGTTGCAGCAAGATCATTTGTCTTCTGGTGTGGGCAGGGATTTGGAACATTCCAGAGGTGGCGGAGATGTTCAATTGCCCTCTGGATGCGTGCTGGATCTGGGTTGGTGACTGCACGGAATGACATTGTTGAGTACTGAAGGAAAGTGCAGACTTCCTGAGTGGGAATAGGCGTATTGATTGCTGATTAATGGGCAGAATTGCAGGCGCACAAGGGCACTTTTTGAAAATCTAAAACATAGAAATAGAAGGGATTTTTATTGCCATGAGGTACATGGTATAATCCCATCAGGTCTGATTGACAGATCATCAAACCATCCCCCAGCAAATCTGACCGGTATGGCAATGTAGAGTGAGCTGCTCTGGTGTGCAGTGAGTTGCTTGCTGATCCATGCTCTGCCATGTCTTCTGCTGCTGATAACTGATGTGGGACCCCATGGACTACGTATGAACAGACTTCAATGGTGGCGGAGTCAATCTTCCAATTGCTTGAAACATTCAAATTCAAGTCGGGTTTTATATATTCAAATGTTAATTTTTTTTTGTGTGTGTGTATGTGTGTGTATGTGTCTTGGGAGTTGTAACTGTGAAAGGAATTGATGGTCTGTTTACTATGGGGCTCTATGGGGAGCCAAAACATCACAAACACAACATTGGGCTTTTATTGTTCTGGGTCTGGTCGACTGAAGGTACCACACGTACTGCAGTTCAGAAATTCAAGTTTTTTGGTACTGCACTGATCTGGGAATTCAATGCACAGGACAGCCCTCTCAGATACAAGAAGGGACTACAGTGTCTTGTGAAGAAGTTCATGGAATGGGGAAGAAGCTTAGCTTTAGCCTGGGGCTGTTGTTGTTCTGTTCTCTGTGCCTCTGGAAAGGTCACTGAGTATCCCTCATTATTCCAGCTGACCCCGACTCAACCAAAAGGACCTATTGGATACTGAACTTAAACAATGAAGCCTGCTTGCAGCCAGAAATGCCATAGAGTATCATTTCAACCCAAAATGAGCAGAAATTATGACTGAAGTCCAGATCTAGAGCTCTGGATTTGGGTTGGATGAATTTGTGTAGATTTGGTGGATGCAAAGCATGGATAATAGGCTTAGCAGTTCAAACATGAATCATGAGAGGAATTGACTCCTTCACGAAAGTCTTGGACCACTTGGACCACCAATTATTTGCTTCACCCCAGGCACCATGAGTGTGCCATTGTGTTATGGTGCAGCAGGTTACACCGACCGGGAAACAGTGGAGTTGAACAAGGTTGAACAATTTGGGCAGCAAGATCACTTAGTGCAGACAGAAGTACTGGCAGCTTCACCTTTCTCATGGAAACCCAGGAGGCACAACTCTTGAACATGAAGAGCCCTGGAGCAGCCAAATATAATGAGTGTGGAACTATCAGTCCATTGTTCAACAATAGTGGAAGTGACCAGGGCCAGGCTAGTAGTGTATGCTGAAGATATAATAATGTTAAACACCAGCCATATCTTGAAAGTATGGCCATCTGAACTCATATGATCTCGACAGTGTGGTCAGAGGGCTTTCTGAATCTTGTACTTCAAAAAGTGTCACTGAACAATTGATTTTTTGGTGGGGAATCATCAAAATCTCAGAAGCAGGGAAAACCTACATAGAAGTATAGGGGTGGTCACGGGTTTTTCACGGGTTTTATGTAATCACAACGTTGAGCCCAACTGTAGGATTTTTTTGAGCCCAAGAGCAAGTGAATCGGTGAAGAACTGACTGAGTTATGAGTTAAACAAGTTTGGGGTCTAATGGTCACAATCCCATGTCACAGGACCTGTGATACTGATTTCAAACCCGCGGGTACAGACCCGCGGGTTTTCGGACCTGAATTGGTGGATTAAGCCAGTGGTGTTGCTATTTTGGGCACCAAACTTGTTCAGGCTGTAACTTGGTTAGTTCTTCACTCATTCACTTGCTCTTGGGCTCGAAAAAATCCTACAGTTGAGCTCAACGTCGCGATTACATAAAACCCGTGAAAAACCCGTGACCATCCCTATAGAAGTAGTTCGCTAGTTGAACCGGCTTCTCAAAAGTCTGTTCAACTTGAAGTTTTAGTGACAGCCTCCACAGCACCGACTTGGAGAAAACAATTCTTCCTTTTATTTGAGAAGAGTCTCACACACACCACTACACCCCCATTTCAAGCATTTGTTACACAAACCTCAAGTGCAAACATTTTTGTAACAGTCAAGAAACATTTGAGAATGGTAGCAGCAACATCTCACAAACATTTGCAGAAAAAATCTCGCTGAAAAGGTCCTACCAATGTTAGTTCAACATTGTCCAAACATCAAGAGTCAAAAAATGCTTCAGGAACTGATTTTTTTTTGTTTGAAAAACATTGAGCAGTGAACATTTTTGAAATGTTTGAACCAAACAGTGGTGTATGCTTGGTCAAATGTCTTTGAAGTTTTTAGCCAGGTTTGTCATGAAAGATATTCCTGGGACTGGTTTAGGTTCCAGGTCTCTGTAAAAAAATAATGTGTATGTTTATAGCCTTATATGGACAAAGTCACTTGACCCCAGTAACTTCTGTGTGTCCTGCCCTCCTCAATCTGTCAAAGTGTGTTTCCCAATCAAGGATTAATACGGCAGGCTGCCCCCCCACCTTCCTCAGAACCATTAAAACATGTTTCCCGATTGTGGATTACCAATACAGTAGATGCCAGCCCCCTGCCCTCTTCAAAACCATTAAAACACATTTACCAATCGTGGATTACCAATATGGCAGATGCCAACCCCCCACCCTCCTCAATCATGGATTATAAACCTGAGAGGTGTTGGCAATGTTGCCTCAGCTCTCCTCGGCTGGCTTGGCTTGGCTTCTGGTGGCCGTTTCACAATCTGGCTACTCCCGGTTT